CAGGATTGGACCTGATGACATCTATTTTAAGTCGTAGATCTATATATCTTCTGCCAAACATATATCCCACAAATTTCTAAAGAATTCTTTCTGCTATGTCCATTGGCCACCTCCTCTCATTGTGGCTAATGCTGTACAGCTGTCTATAAAAAGCATCACCCATGAACTGCACAAAAGTTTCTTGAAGCTTTAGAGACTCAGCAAGACTGCTTGTGTCTCTAATTGTATAATTTCCTGATAACTCATCTGTTATAGCCAGTTCTCAAAGGCTGTTTTGTTCGCCAGTTTAGCACACCAGCCTACTGTTGATGCATCTACATATAGGCTTTTTACCAAAGATGGTCTCCAGGCAGGACATCCATTGTAACCTTCTAGGTTTTTTAGCAGCCATAATAAATCCTCTTTTGCCTGGTTTGAGATTGTCACTTTTTTGTCCCACTCCCAAAAACACATGTTTGCTACATCTAGAAGAGAGTAAAATTCTATGCATCTTACTTGTGTTGGGGCAAAGGACTGGGACAGACTGAATTTTTCCTGTTACTTTTGCCAGTTGTCTAGCTGTTACTGATTTCATGTTTATTATCTTTGTTAACTTAATCTTCACATTCACTATTTTTTCTTCTGGTATTATTACTTGTGCATTCACTGTGTCTATCATTAACCCATAAAATTTGATTTTCTTCGACAATACTAACTGACTTTTGTCCATGCTAGAACAAAACCACATTTTATCAGGTCTGGTAAGATAATTTTGTCTTTTATTTTTATTAGAGTCTCTGTTGAGAGGTGTGTAATTTATATATCATCTATATAAGATTCTGAAGCAATTCCCATCTCACTCCAGTGGGCTATTAATGGTCTTAATAGCTTTGAAAAAATCTAAACTGATTGGGAGAGACCGAAAAGTAACACCTAATAGTGGTACCATGAATTTGCTGCACGAAAACCCAGAAATCATTGTGCCTTCTCGTTCATTAGTACATGATGGTATCCATCCCTTAAGTCTAAAGTAATTACTGACTAATTTCTTCTAATTGATCTTAGAAGTCTACCCAATCCTTCAAAGCAACATGACTTCTCTGGTAAGGTTCGATTTAACCTTCTTAGGTCTATTACTAGTCGATATTTTTAGGACCAGCCTTTGGTACTAGAAAGATTAGTGAGACCTCTAGAAGGAAGAATGGGTAATGAGACCTGCCTCTAACTTTTTTATTGCCTTCAGGCTTACTAATCGACTGAGTTCTTCTTGAAGCTACAGAGACTGCTCCATAGTTAATGAATAAGGTTTTGGTCTGGTTGGTTTGCTAATTTTAATACTTCTTTTGGGAATAAGGGTATACTATTTTTTAATAGTCAACAACAATCTGTGGTGGTTTTATTTCCCTTAACCAATAGTTTATTGCTTCCTGTGTGTGGATCCTTTCCATTACTACCCTGTAGTGATCTAATCTCTTAAATTCTGCTAGGTCTAAGTGAATCCTTTCTATTTGATTTAGGTTGGCTATAAATGTATCCTTTCTCTGATGCTGATTGTTTTTTAAAAAATTTATTTTGCCCAAGTCCTGTACTATCCTCACCTGAGTATAGCAGGATTTATTTTCAGCATTTCCAGATCTTTGATGAAAAAACCTATTTTTTCCATTGCTACTTTCTGCTATCTTAGATGCACAGGCTGAAACAATATGCCTCATACCACCACAATAATAGCATACTAGTTGGTTTACTGTTTTGTTTGCTATAACAAAGGATGAAGCTGGATTTGAGAGATTTGACTGGTTTAGTCTATCATGGTACTGGTGTTGTTTAAATCTATTGAACTAGATTCTTTGTACCAAGAAGTATGGAGCAAAACCTTATGCACCTGTCTCTTTCCCATGTATCCTCTTTGCTATATCTACCTCCAAAGTTTTGAAAAAGCTTGTATTCCTTTGGTTTCGCTTGTTTTCTTGCTTTTATTAACATATCATAAAGCTAATCTTTCTCTGTAGATATTGGTTTTGGAATCTTCGATGCTACTCTCCATTCTTCATCCTCTGCAGTTCTCAAGGTAAATGCCCTTATTTTCAATACATTGTAAGCTTCTTGTACTTTTTCAATTGATTCTTCCTGCATTGCTTTATTAAGTGTTCTGCCTATTTGGCATATAAAGTCATACTCATGCTGATCGTGCATACATTTAAATTTCTTCTTCAGAAATTTAGAGTCTGAGATTACATCTTGAAAATTTTTACATTGAGATGCCCAATGCTGCAGATTTCTATTTAGCATTGATGCTAGTGAACTTTCAAGTT